GACTGGCCATGTTACCCGCATGGACGGCAGTAGACCGCCAAAGCAGCTACTTTACAGTCACTTAACGAATAGTAAACTTAACACTGGTGGGCAATTGAAAAGGTATAAAGATAGTCTTAAGACAAACCTGAAAAGGTGCCAAATCGACTCCCACACCTGGGAGACGATTATTCCACACCGTAAGGCTTGGAGGAGCACCACACAAGAAAGTGTCAATACATTCGAGTCAGCCCGAGTGCAAACCGAGGCAGACAAGCGCCAACGCCGGAAAGGCGCTGCAACCGCCACTCCCGCAGTAGATGTAACCCTCACATGTGCAACATTTGTGAACGATCCTGCCAGTCCAGTATCAGCCTCTTTAGTCACCTCAGAGCTCATAAACTTAGCTGATATCCTTAATAACTCATAGCATTGTATCATAGCTGAATGATCGTTATTCTCGATTCCGAGTGACAGCAATGTATGTTGAAAATTCGTATAGGAATCCATCAGACCTCTATATAGTAAACAACAAGGCTCTAAGAGGTGATACCATCTTACAGTAAACCGAGGGAACAACACAGGGGGTCCCTGTTGCAATGGCAACGTATGCAATTGGCCTATCAGTGCTCCAACAAGAAATAAAATTTGAAACAACTGGGGTCAAACAAGTGGCGTATGCTGATGACCTTACAGGAGCAGGAAAAGTGGAGGACATCAAAAAGTGGTGGGACTTGGTAACATCACGAGGTCCACAAATAGGGTACCACCCAAACGCCAGCAAGTCCTTCCTCATCGTGAAGCCAGAACATTATGAACGGGCAATGGAGGTTTTTGGCGAAAGTGAGGTTAAAATAACTAAGGACGGCCAAAGACATCTAGGCGCAGTAATTGGCACTACGGACTTCAAGACCGAGTACGTAGCGGGAAAGGTGAATGAGTGGGTTAGTGAAATCTAAGCTCTGTCTGAGATTGCTAACACAGAGCCACATGCGGCTTTTGCTGCATTCACGCATGAAGTCAAGCATCGTTGGAATTACCTGATGCGTACTATCCCTGATATAGGACCCCTCCTCCACCCTCTGGAAGAAGTTATTAGTGTCAATTTCATTCCTAAATTAGTGAAACACCCTGACTTAACCCCAGCAGAAAGAGCACTTCTTGCACTTCCATCAAGACTGGGAGGGATGGGACTAACCAATCCAGAGGAGATTGCTGCCACCGAACATCAAAATTCACTTAAGCTCACGGCAGCCCTCACGGACCACACAATAGCCCAGAAAGCAACAGGGGAGGTGGATACCAGTGAAGTAAATAAGATTCGTAGGTCCATTACGAGAGATCGACAGCACTGCCAAAATGATAAGTTGCAGCAACTGTTGCTGCAGGTACCAGAAAATTTGAAAAAAAAGTAGTTATAGCGCAGGAGGTGGGCGCCTCGAACTGGTTAACTACGTTACCGATAAGGGCAAATGGTTTCAGTCTTAATAAACAAGAATTTACAGATGCCATTGCTCTAAGGTACGGTCAGCCAGTAGAAGGTTTGCCCTCCCAATGCGTGTGTGGCTCTTCCTATGATGGCGATCACGCCATGGTGTGCAAGATAGGGGGCTTTATATGCATGAGGCATGACGAGGTAAGGGACCTCACAGCAAATATGTTGAAGGAAATCCGCCGGCATGTCATGGTAGAACCGACCCTCCTTCCATTGGATGGTGAGATCTTCCAACACAGGACTTCAAACACATCTAACGAAGCCCATGTGGACGTCAGTGCTCGAGGATTCTGGACACGGGGACAGCGAGCTTTCTTCGACATCAGGATTTTTGATCCCATGGCCGCATGTCACCGTAACCTAGCTCTCGATGCTGCACATAGGAGGAACGAGAACGACAAGAGAAGGGCACATGGGGAGAGAATTCAAAATGTTGATCAAGGCAGCTTCACTCCTCTAGTGTTCACAACTTCTGGTGGGATGGGACCAAGTGCAAGATGTTTCTACGCCAGACTCATGGAGGTGATCTCCGAACAGAAGCAGCAGCCCAGAAGTTATGTTACAGCCTGGATGAGATGTCGACTGTCTTTTCTCTCCTTCGGTCGGCTTTTCTGCCTCAGGGAACGAGAGCCTACCCCAATTCCGACAACTGCTGCAGATATTGACTATGAGGCTACAGTCACTGAATGCATAGATCTGCGGCTCAACTAATTCAACACAGATAGGATAGCTACTTATGTATTAGGATATTTAATATTAAGGTAAAATGGTGGCGAAGGTGTGGCTATTGGGGAGGCTGGAGGCCACGAAAAAAAAAAAGTAGTAGTAGTGTACGTGTGTGTGTGTGTGTGTGTAAGGTGTGTGTGTGTGGTGTAATGGTCAGCATGCTTGCCTCGCAAGTGAGTGGACCTGAGTTCGATCCCAGGCGGGTGAAACTATGGGCAAGTTTCTTTACGCCATTTGCCTCTGTCTACCCAGCAGTAATTGGGAACCTGGATGTTAATCGATTTGCGGATCGTGTTCCGGGGTAATGGTTAGCCAGTGCAGTTGGCGAGTTGTCCGGTCTTCTTGGACTATTCCTTGACACTGGGTCATGCAGCTCGTTAACTCAGGATGTTGTTGTTGTGTTAGGACAGCTTCTACACCTTAAACAAATTTACACCTAGTCCTTGGGCCGGCCATCCTCATTACACGAGGGGCGACCATTATTATGTGTGTGTGTGGAGAAGCATGTTAAGGGTTGACTTCCGGGGTTGACAGGAAATACCACACTGCGTCGAGATGTTGTTCTCACATTATCAACACACATTCAGTATTGTTTGGGAGATTTCATGTTCACAAAGTCATAAGGAATAATGAGAGATGTTGGAGTTTTGAGAAGCAAGGAGAGGAGGAGGTCGTGTGGAGAGAGAGAGAGAGAGAGAGAGAGAGAGAGAGAGAGAGCCACAACATTGTCTGGATCATTATCTAACACATTAAAGATCCAAATTATAGAGATGATTATCATCCTAATTATCTCATGAATAATAGAATAATTTATCCCACCTCCAATTAACGCTGTAATTCTCTAATGGGCAATTTCCCTGCGTAATTAAATTGATAACAACACGGCGGACTATCCAGTATAGACGTAGGCCTATAGACACCAAGAAAAATCACATTGGGTAAAATAAATTAGCTTATATAAAGGCCAATGAAAAAAAAATAAAATAAAAATAGTCCAGTTTTTTTTTTCGACGTTTATATAACCTATAAATAAAGCTTCACGATTATTGTTTTGTTATTATTATTTTGATTTTGTTTTTGTTTCCATCCACCTAGTTGAGACCACCAGCTGCCTCTGCCTCCCTGAAGAATATACTGATTATGTTTTTGGACGTCTTCCCCTCAACAGTACAGTGGCTATAGACCATGTGTCCCCGCCAGCCTGGTCGATAACCTACACAGTCAGTCTCTCTCTCTCTCTCTCTCTCTCATCGTCAGAAGGCTTCACTGCCCCTCCGTCCTGCTTGTTTCTCTTGCCTCCCTGCCTCCTTCACCTCCCGTACTTTCTGCTCCCTTCCTCAGTATAATCCTCCCCCCCCACCCTATCTCCCTCCCTCACTGCACTCCTCCTTCCCCTCATCATATCCTCCCTAGCTTCACCAACCTCGCCACACTCATTACCTCCCACTCTAGCCCTGACCTCCTCATTACCTCCCACTCTAGCCCTGACCTCATTACCTCCCACTCTATCCCTGACCTCATTACCTCCCACTCTAGTTGACCTCCTCATTACCACCCACTCTCCCTGACCTCATCATTACCTCCCACTCTAGCTCTGACCTCCTCATTACCTCCCTCTAGCCCTGACCTCCTCATTATCACCCCTCTAGCTGACCTCCTCATTACCTCCACTCTAGCCTGACCTCCTCATTACCTCCCCTCTAGTCCTGACCTCCTCATTACCTCACTCTAGCCCTGACCTCCTCATTCCTCCCTCTATCCTTGACCTCCTCATTACCTCCCACTCAAGCCCTGACCTCCTCATTCCTCACCTCTAGCCCTGACCTCCTCATTCCTCCCACTCTAGCCCTGACCTCCTCATTACCTCCCACTCTAGCCCTGACCTCCTCATTACCACCACTCTAGCCCTGACCTCCTCATAACCTCCTCTAGCCCTGCCCTCATTACCTCCCACTCTAGCCTGACCTCCTCATTACCTCCCCTCTAGCTGACCTCCTCATTACCACCCTCTAGCCCTGACCTCCTCATACCTCCCACTCTAGCCCTGACCTCCTCATTACCTCCCTCAGCCCCAACCTCCTCATTACCTCCCCTCTAGCCCTGACCTCCTCATTACCTCCCCTCTACCCCTGACCTCCTCATTACCTCCCACTCTAGCCCCTGACCTCCTCATTACCTCCCTCTACCCCTGACCTCCTCATTACCTCCCACTCTAGCCCTGACCTCCTCATTACCTCCCTCTAGCCTGACCTCCTCATTACCTCCCCTCTAGCCCTGACCTCCTCATTACGTCCCACTCTAGCCCTGACCTCCTCATTACCTCCCACTCTAGCCCTGACCTCCTCAATAGCTTTAGGGCCTTCGTCTGTAGATCCCTCCTGCTGTAGCTCCTCAAGTCCCTCCTCCATCCCATAAGGTCATCAAAATCAGTGAGTCCCATGGCGAAGAAACTCATTAATTAGACACAGGACAGGTAAGAGTGTTGCTCACCTGTGAAATACTGTATATGTGACTCACTCTTACACTACCACTACTATCACCATGAACACCTACCACTATCATCACCACTACTACCATTATTACTATCACCATTAACACCATCATTAATTTCACCACTTACATTCATCACGTACCATCGCTACCAACAACCCAACCACTAACTCCCACCGTTCTCCACTACCATTACTACCACCACCACTACTAACACTCACCACCTACCATTACTACCACATCACTACCACCACCTACCATCACCACTACTACCACCTACCATCACCAGGTTGCTTACACGTGACCTCACCTTCCAATATCAGAAGATTCTATCTCCTGGACAATCTTGGACACATTGGAGGCAGGTTCGAAGCACTTGCCCACCTTGTGTATGAGAGCCGTGGTGGAGGAGGTCTTGAACAGGCCAAGTGTGCGTCGCTTGAGGCCGTGTGACAAGCAGGCCTCTACAGCACCTACGGGAAGAACACACATATATTAGTTACTCTCCTCAAAGCAGGCCTCTACAGCACCTACGGGAGGAACACACACATATTAGTTACTCTCCTAAAGCAGGCCTCTACAGCACCTACAGAAGAACACACATATATTAGTTACTCTCCTCAAAGCAGGCCTCTACAGCACCTACGGGAGGAACACACACATATTAGTTACCTCCCAAAAGCAGGCCTCTACAGCACCTACGGGAAGAACACACATATTAGTTACTCTCCTCAAAGCAGGCCTCTACAGCACCTACGGGAGGAACACACATATAATAGTTACCCGCGTTCGATCCCCAGGCAGGGTGAAACTATGGGCAAGTTTCTTTATACCATTTGCCTCTGTCTACCCAGCAGTAATTGGGAACCTGAATGTTAATCGACTTGCGGATCGTGTTCCGGGGTAATGGTTAGCGAGTGCAGTTGGCGAGTTGTCCGGTCTTCTCAGACTATTCCTTGACACTGGGTCACGCAACTCGTTAACTCAGGTTGTGGTTGTGGTGTTGGCGACAGCTTCTACACCTTAAACACTGTGTCACGCATCTCGTTAACTTAGGGTGTGGTTGTGGTGTTGGCGACAGCTTCTACACTTTAAACACTGTGTCACGCAGCTCGTTAACTCAAGATGTGGTTGTTGTGTTGGCGACAGCTTCTACACCTTAAACAAATTCCCGCCTAGGTGGCCCTTGTGCTGGAATCATTATTACACGAAGGGCAACCATGAAAACTAGGAACGGAGGTGTAGGTATAGGTAGGTAGGGACTAGTGATTGTCAGTGTTGATTGTTAATATACCATACAAAACACAAGTCTCTCTTCTCTCATCAACACAAACATAAAAAAATAATATCTGACTACCATAAATATAATGATAAAACAGCTGATTATTTTATACCAACAAGACAAAATAACAGAGGAGAGAGAGAGAGAGAGCACAAGGGTAGGGTGGGTGGCCATTGATAAGATAATCTGCCACTCTCAGTAATTACCACCTACCTACACTACACAACCACCCTACACCACCACCCTGCTACCCACCCACCCATCTAACAACCCAACCAGCTCCGGGGTCATCAAAATTAGCCTTAATTCATGTACATCACAAACGACGCTTTAGGTCATTAGTGATCGTTAACCAGACTATTCATAATAACTTTCCCGGGTAATTGAGGTGAGATAATTATCCCCGTCTCTCTCATTCTCGTCAATTATCAATTATTTACTTTGTTCACCCTCCTTCAATTATTTTATGTTGTGGCAATCTCTCTGGTCTAGTAATATTCTCTGAGATAAATTAGAATATTTTACTGCTACGTCTCTTACACCACACACACACACACACACACACACACACACACACACACACACACACAAGAAAAAATACAACTCGACTCAGCGAAATTGATGCAAATTACTGGTGATTCAGGCAGGTGTATATAACAGTACAAAGGTGTAACCCTGCCCATCAGCTGGTCCTGGAGACACACCCTCTAGTGTATCAGGTGCTGCTGAATTATTACCACCACCCTACCCCCTCACCACCATCCCCACCTCACCAACCCCACCACCCCTACCTCCCCATCCTCACCGCCCTCCCCACCACCTCCTACTTCTCCCCTTACACTAGGTCGACCACTTACTGCAGGTAGTGGATATATACAGCAGGGAACGAATGCCACTACTTGTTAACCTCGTATTTCACCACTTAGGTCAGGTCAGGTCGGGTCACTTTACCTACCATGAGGACGAGGGAGGGTGAGGGAAGGTGAGCTTGTGTCTTGTTACACGTTTCAGAGAGGCGGGAGTGTAGCTAATACCTAACTAGCCTACATAACTCCAGGTCAGGTCAGGTCAGGTCAGGTCAGGTCAGGTTAGGTTAGTGGTTAGGTTAGCATTAGAACGGATAATCTTAAGGTGTAATAAGTTGGGGGGGGTTATTCTTCAGGTATTGACCCAAAGAGTGAAATATTACCTAGACAAAGAGTAGCAGTGTGACGTCACCTCCACACACACACACACCAGTACCTTCAAGGGGCTGCTTAATGCTGGAGGACTTAATTTTAACTTGGGTGGAGCGACGCGAAATTCCTTTACTTTTCATAGTTTGTGTTGATATTTTTAACGTTTCGAAATCTCTCTATCTCTCTCTCACACACATTCACACACACACACTCTCTCTCTCTTTACTTACTTTTTACTTTTATCTTCTTCACCACTGATCAGCTCGTTAGCCGCTTGGGCGATCGGTTACGTCTCTGTTGCACACTGTTGGCAAGTACTGGTCATGCACCGGCTCCTGAATGTACCTGAACCCGCTCCAGTGTTGGTCAAGTCTTGTCTTGAAAGAGCTCACACTCGATGCCGTCACCACAGTCTCTGGCAGATTGTTCCAAGAGTTCACAACTCTCACTCCGAAAAAGTTTGCCCTCACAGTTTTCTGGACTTGCGGCTTCTTCAACCTTGAGCTATGACCCCTTGTGGGGCGAGCGTCCACCAGCCCCAGGTAAGGACACTGGACTTAGTGCCCTTTGAGATGTTTATACACCTCAATTAGGTCACCCCGTGCCTGCCTGTAGTATAAGCTAGGCAGTTGCAGGCGCTCTAATCTCAATGATAGCTGAGGTGCCGAAGTGCAAGCACCAGCCTGGTGGCCCTCCTTTGGACATTTTCAATCAACTGACAGTCCCTAACTTGAGTCACCTTCTTCTCAAAATGGCCAAAGAACTTCAGTTCATTGTCGACATACACACATCGGTCATTTTCGCAGTTTCAATTAATTCAGTTTCTTCGTCCTGTTGGGACAAATGATACGCCTTTCTGCCATCGTGACATCTTAGCAGCCATTTCTTCGACTATTCTTGAAGCTCACGGATCTTTCTGCAGCTCTTCACAGTCTGATTGGTTTTTAATTTCCCTGAATAACTTGACATCGTCCGCAAACATTTGTATGGTGGAGTGTACAGTATAGCTTCTGGCATATCATTAATGAAACTGACAAACAACAACGGGCCCAATACACTGTCCTGTGGTACCCACCTTGTGACGAGTACACATGAGGATTTCGTACCATTAATCACCACACACTGCTTGTGGTCATGGAGAAAGTCTCCGATCCACGCTAGGACACTTCCCCGAATCCCGTACCCTTCCAGTTTAATATTCAGCCTTTCATAGGGTATGCTGTCGAAAGCCTTGGCAAAATCTAGGTATACAGTATATTGTCAATATTGCCGCCCTGTTCCAGAATTTGGGTCCACACATCCAGCACCTTGGGTCATTGAGCGAAACAGGATCGTCCCGGCATAAAACTGTATTGGCAATCCTTTACAAGGTTGTTTCGTGGTAGATGTTCCATAATGGTGTCTCTTTCGATGCTCTTGTACTTTGCACACTATGCTGATTAGGCTCACTAGTCTATAATTATTCGTGGAGTGACGGTCGCCCTTCTTGAAGATAGGACTCACATAAGCACATAAGCCATTTTCCAATCACTGAGGACCTTTTGTTCATCCAGGCATCTACAGAACAGGATCTTCAGGGGTTCAGCGAACTCGTTACACAACTCTCTTAGCACTCTGGGGTGCACCATGTCAGGGCCGGGACTCTTATGAATCTTTAGCTTTCAAAATTTATTTCTCATACCCTCTTCTGTGAACACAATGTGGGTCAGTTCAGTGTCAAATCGTCTGTCCTCAAACGCAGGAAGATTGTTCGCATCCTCTCTTGTGAACACCCCAAGGAAAAGAAACGTTCAACACCTCTGCCTTATTTTGGTCAGAATCTGCGTAACTACCATCTTCAAGCCTTAGGTCTGATACTCCTACTCGCTGTTTTAATTTCGACTATGCATATCGGTAAAACGCCTTTAGGTTTGACTTGACCTCGCTCGCAATCCGCATTTGGAACTCATTTTCAGTCCTTCTATACTCTGACTTTGCTTGGTTTCTGGCTCTTGCATACATCCTCCTGTCCTGCTCATCGTTTGTCCTAACCCATGCCTTGAAATTCTGGGTTTTCTTCTTAACTTTGTTGACCGCCTCATGGTTCATGTGTAGTGATCTCCTTGTCTTCCTGGAGGCACTGGGTTCGGTCTTGTGTACATGTATATATTTATCAATCAAATGGTTCTCTTTACCGGCTATGATATTCAGCGTAGTGTCTGCGCTCTTATGCCTTGGTGAGTCAGGCCAGTGGATACCCCTCATCTCCTCCCTCATCCCGTCGTAATTTCCTTTGTAATATTTGCACCTTGGCCTGGTGTTATCTTGAACTAGGTAACAGTTAAAGCTGAATGACAACACTCTATGGTGACTGGTGCTAACTGGGGCAAGGTGTTCCAGTTTGGCCACCATACCCTCCTCGTTTGTTATGATGAGGTCTAGTGGCTTGGGTGTTTGCTCCCCTCTGTAATGTGTCTGGTCTCTAACATGTTGGAACAGATAATTATCTCTCAGAGTTTCTACAAAAAGAGTAGCAGGGTTATTTAAGTCATTTGACGTGAACTCATTTCTCCTTTCGATGTCACCGTTGCGTTGTCTATTAAGGCTCTTAAGTTCCTTTGGTTTAATAAGCTACAGTTTGGGGATCTGTAGATACACCCGACGATAAGTAAGTCCCCTCCCTTTAATTTAATTTTACACCACTTGGATTCTTCAAAAACATCCTCTCCCTGTACCCTCGCCTGGCTGGCTCTAAGGTCTTGCCTAGCATAGATAACCACACCCCTCTTGCAAGTTTCTTGAGAAAGGTTCGTAAATGAATCATATCCAGCAATACTGAACTCACCTTCCTCTGGGACGATTCTCCTGTTCTTGTACAACAGTTCTTCAACTCAGTAGTGTTTCAAACTCCTCTCTCTTATCAAGGAACGTGTCAGTATTAGTGTACATGACATTCAAGCCAGAATTTGTTCTCGGTAACGTTTCTGCTCTTAGTAGTAACTCCGGCCCCCCTTCATTCTCAGCAGCTGCAGCATTTGCTAAATACACTGTATTTTGCAGGGTGTGGTTAGAAATGCCATTGTTTACATGGCGCTCGCTTCCTCCTGGGTGGGAGGAGTAAGCTTCCTCGTGGGTAAGAGGTAAAGAGTGTGGAGGGTGTACCGCTGCCCTGGCCCTGTGATGGCACTCTCGCTTACACGACCCCCCTGAATATAACCCATGTACACCCGTCCCGTTCCTCCTCGACTCCTCCTCCTTTTGCTTCTGCAGGAGCTTCTTGTGCTGTTTCCCTGCATTACCGTGGATCTATGTGAATGAATACACCCAAAATGCCTTGCTCCTGCTAAGTTTTTGCCAGCCGAATAACCTCCCATTCTCCTCCTCGCTCACTTGTGTGATCCTGAGGGGGCGAGGCTTATCCCTCACTTTGTCCCAGCCTCCTCACATCCTGTGGGGTTGATGGCATCTTCAGAACCTCTGTACAAATATTCTCAAACTGCATCTTATCGTGTGTTATCTTACTCTCAGTTCCCTCCGCCTGGCTCTCAGGGGACCCATAAACTATTACATTGTTCCTGCGCTGGAAACGTTCCCGTTGTTCCTCCTCTCCCCTAACAGTAGGTCCGTTAATTATCATTTCTTCTACACACTTCTTCAGAGTCCCTAGCTGCTGTAGAATCTGTTCTGATCCTGCATTACTCCCCGCCACCCCCCGTGGTCCTGCTAATGCCTCAGCATAACTCCTCTTAGTACCACCTCCATTCTGTCGGCTACTTCCTCAGTCTTAGCAAGGATCTCTTTCCCAACTTGTTCTAGTTTGGCAACCAGCAAGGCTCCAGCTTCTATTTTCTTTTAATCACACACGCACAGACACACATATACTGTCTGTCTGTCTGTGCCCGATTGCTTGGTAATTGGATACAATATATACCTTCACAAAACTCAGTTCTCTTAATAATAATTTGTTTAAAAGTTTTCCTGTCACGGCCTGGCAAAATGAACCAAATAAAACAGAACTGTCATGAATATGTTCTCGTTTACGTGTGTGTGTGTGTGTGTGTGTGTGTGTGTGTGTGTGTGTGTGTGTGAGAGAGAGAGAGAGAGAGAGAGAGAGAGACTGTCTTTCTTTGAACGAACTGAATTCCACATTTCAGTAGAGGGAAGACAGTCACGATACTGGAACATTAACAACCACTAAAGCAGTTAAAGACAATTATCCCATGATAAGTTATCGTTACCTCAACCTAACCGCTATAACGATCACCTATGGTAACGTTAACCGCTTCTCTTGGCTGACGATAACGTTACGATATCAAAACATAAGGCGAATTGGGAAGATATTTATTCTAACCTTTTCAGTATAATAATTTTGATTTTTATGTACGATGATAAATTATTGAAACCAAAGTACGGTAATCCTATTAATTGATGATGATAATTTAATCTCTTGAGCAAAGCAAAACGTCCTCTTCAGTATGATGCCATAAACTCCTTGAATACTATCATTAATTTATTTATTTATTCATTTTATGTATTTAATTACGAACAAATTTAACCCTATGGACACGGTAATTTCCTTCTTCAGGTTAAACTGAAATGTGTTCTCTTCATTAGTTTGTTATTGTTTCATATTAAGTGAAGTCTCATCCAGACCTTGACCATCTAGAAAATTTGTGTAACTTGACCTTCACATATAGTAATTGAGTACCACTGCCCTAGGGTATAATAATGTAACCCCTTGAGTACGATAATCTACCTTCGAGTACGATAATCTACCTTCGAGTACGATAATACTCCTAGAGTACGATAATTCACCCTAGAGAGTACGATAATCTACCTTAGAGTACGATAATCTACCTTAGAGTACGATAATCTACCTTCGAGTACGTTAATCTACCCTAGAGTACGATAATCTACCTTAGAGTACGATAATCTACCTTCGAGTACGATAATCTACCCTAGAGTACGATAATCTACCCTAGACTCTTCAAGTATGAATATTCGAAGCCCCAAAAGCCGTAGTTTAAGCTCTTAAATGTAATAGCTTAACTGACCCTCCGAGCACGATACTCTGATCATGTTAGTACAATAGTTGCCATGGTGATCATACAACCAGGCGGCCATGTTGGACCTGTGAAGACGACAGACAGACAGGCAGCCAGATAGACAGATAGATATGTAGATAGATAGATAGATAGATAGGACAAACAGACAGACAGATAGACACACCGAATACGTACACAATCAATAATAAATTCAAGAACTGACGTTAAAAGATTATTTCCATTACAGTCATTATTTGTAAACAACAATGGCGCCGACCAGCTGACGTCTTGAAGGACTCCCAAAAAACTGTACATCAAGATGATGAAAAAATAAATAAATGACAACTTTTCACAACCATAAATGAGGTGTGTGTGTGTGTGTGTGTGTGTGTGTGTGTGTGTGTGTGTGTATGTGTGTGTGTGTATGTGTGTGTGTGTGTAATAAATAATAATAATAATAATTAACGGTTTATTGAAAGAGCATGGCAGCAGGAAGGCTGACAATATACAGTTACGTAATTGAGGAATGGGTCACTTGATTGACAAATAATATACAGGTAACATAAGTGATACAAATATGATATATAATAACTAGGCGGGGAGAAGGTCATACTACAGGGCATTTCAACATAGTGACAGTGCAAAAAGGTAAGATTGACTGGGAGTGAATACACTGGTTGATTACGAGTTGTTGATAATTTTTACAATGGTTGGGACTGGGCTGTTCTTATAGCGATCAGTAAGTGCTCGTATGGGCTGGATGCGGTTGTGGTGTCGAACAACAATTCGTAGACGAGGGATCTCGGGTGGTAGTAGGAGCCGGTGTCGAGGATGGTGCAGAAGCTTCTCACTAAATTTGCAGATGAGGTCGTGGTGATGGTCAGAGAGAGCCGAGAGGGTCAGTGTGTTGAGCGCTTCTTGATATGTGGAGTAGGAAGGGGAGAGAATAATCTTGCATGCCCTCTTTTGTACTTTTTCAAGGTGTTTATGTTGTGTGGCATTTAGGGAGGAAGACCAGGTAGGGGAAGCATAGGTGAGCTTGGGAAGTATGAATGTTGAGTAAACACTGAGGAGCTCGGGTGCAGGAACTCCGAGGAACTTGAGTCGGCGGAGGAGGTGGAGACGGAAGCTGGAGGATTTGACAACTGTACTGAAGTGTGTTTTCCAATTTAGTTTGTTATCTATAGTGACGCCGAGGAGCTTAGTGGAGTCTACAACCTGGAGTGTGTTGGGCCCTAAGTAATGGAGGGAGGTGGGACAAGGTCAGAGGAGAGGTTGATGTGCATAACCATGGTCTTGGTATGGTTAATGGTGACGTGGTTGTTAGTGGCCCAGTTTTGGAGACTGTTCAATAAATCCTGGAGGGCGGTGTAGTCGTGTATGTGTGTGTGTATGTGTGTGTGTGTGTATGTGTGTGTGTGTGTGGTAATGATGCTGCAGCTGGTATGGTAATATTAATATACGAGGCATAATAAACGTGAGTGTGGGACTTCAGTACAGTATATAAGTTAACATTAGTGGCAGAATAGTTAACAATGCTCGCTGGATACTGGAATAATAACGTGATGATGTTGATGACGACAAACACATCAATATAAAAATTAAAAGAAAAAACTACTAAACAGAAACGCTAAAAAAACATTAAAAAAAACGGTGAAAGAAAAACACAAATAAAGAAACCTAAAGGAATAGAACCCATTAAAAACGACGAAAATATCAATACAAAAATAACGATGGAAAAACCTACTTCATTATTTAACACAAAAATATCGCGAAGTTGGTGACAAAGACGATGTACACCACAACAGTTCTTCTCTTCAAGGTACGTATAGTAATTTCTTTGTCCACCACCACTACCACCGCCACCACCACCACTACCACTACCACCACCACCACCACTACCACCGCTACTACCACCACTACCACCACCACTAGGGAGAAGGTTAACAAGGACCTTTAAAACCTGGCAATGTGACAGTCGGGGAATATTTTATTGTATAGGTTTATTATGAAGCGGTGGAGCTGATGAGGCTGTGTGTGTGTTTGTATGTCATTATCACTGATGGCTTGTGTGTGTGTGTGTGTGTGTGTGTGTGTGTCTGTGTGTGTGTGTGTGTGTGTGTGTGTGTGTGTGTGTGTGTGTGTGTGTGTGTGTGTGTGTGTGTGTGTGTGTGTGTGGGGGTTATTCGTACATCTAGTGTTGAGGGTATATTGGAGGGAGGAGGGAGTGTAGAGACCAGTGTACCGTGTTGACCCGCTCTGCATCACTGTGTACACAACGTGCTGTATCACATAACTTCACACACACACACACACACACACACACACCCCCCCCTATCTCTTATCCACACTACATCTGTACCTAACTCTCCCTGACTCTCTCCTCCTCCCCTTCTTCCTCTTATCTCCCTTCCCTCACCCACCCCACGAGTCCCTCTGCTACACACGAATAGTAATAATAACAACAACAACAACAATACACACCTCCACAACAACAACAACAACAATATCCTAAGACATCCAAGCCCTATGATACAATACTCCTGTTATTTCCACCTCAGCTGACAACATTTCCCTCCTACGTAAATTGATTGGTATTACTCCGTCACCGGGTGTAGTCTGCTGTATTAACCTGTATATAATGTATTTGTAGTTATGGATATTATGTAGATTCTTATACACTTATTGGATATTAATATTTATTACGATGGTTTGACCCTTTGAGTACGGTTTAACCCTTTGGGTATGGTTTCTTAACCCTGTAGAATATGGTGACAACCCCTTGCGTACGATAACTTGACCCTACCGTCATCAACATCATCATCATCAACACCATCATTCACCATCACTAGTATCATTATCATACAAGGGTTAATTAAAACTTACTGTCACTACACCTGTATCATATGCTGTGACCTGTGTGTTCAAGTCTCAGGTGACACAGTGTACCATATGTGTCTAAAGAGTGCTAAAGGATACAGTGTGTGTCAAAATGTGTCAAGTTAACACACACACACACACACACACACACACACACACACACACACACACACACACACACACACACACACACACGACTGTAGTCTTAAAAGTTACTGAAGTTAAAACGTAGACAAAAATTAATCAGTGAAAAGGTCAGGCGGTACCCTCCCTCCTCCAGCCCCCCGTCTCCTGCTTCTTCCTCCTCGCTCCTCGCTCCCTCCTTCAGTCCTCCCTCGCTCCTCCTCCCCTCCTCCCTCCATTATTCAATTTCAGGGTATTACTTCAACATAAACATAACAACCTGACCGTCATCACGAGGCAGAGGTAGGTGTGTGTGTGTGTGTGTGTGTGTGTGTGTGTGTGTGTGTGTGTGTGTGTGGTGGGTCGAGACGGTCGTGGGCAGTTCGACCTTAGCATTGGTCTGTAGAGAGGGGTATGGGCCCAGTACCAAGGTCGCCACTCCTCTGGACACAAGCAAAGCCCCATGGCTTGTGTTTGGCACGTTGACGACTCTTAGTAGTGCCTGTCACCTGCCCTCTTCTCTCCCCATCTCCACGGCCCTCTTCTCCTCCCCATCCTCTCCTCCTCCGCCTCTTCTCTCCCCTCCTCCTCCTCCTCCGGCTTCCCTCTTCTCTCCTCCTCTCCCTTCCTCTTCTCTCTCTCCTCCTCAGCCTCTTCTCTCCCATCTACCGGCCCTCTTCTTCTCCTCCTCCTCCTCCTCCCACGGCCTCTTCTCCTCCCCATCCTCACGGCCTCTCCTCCTCCCATCCTCCACACGGCCCTCTTCTCCTCCCAGCCTCCCACGGCCCTCTTGTTCTCCTCCTCCTCCTCCTCCTGTGACCTCTTCTCCTCCTCCTCCTCTCCTCCTCCACGGCCTCTTCTCCTCAGCCTCACAGCCTCTTCTTCCTCCTCCTCCTCTACATTTCTCTTCCATCCCACCTCACGGCCTCTTCTCCTCCCATCCTCCACGGCCCTCTTCTTCTCCTCCTCCTCCTCCTCACAACAGCCTCTTCTCTCCTCCTCCTCTCCTCCTCCCACACGGCCTCTTCTCTCTCCCATCCTCCTCCTCCCACGGCCTCTTCTCTCCCCATCCTCCACGGCCCTCTTCTTCTCCTCTCCTCCTCTCCCCGGCCTCTTCTCCTCCCCATCCTCCTAGCAGCCCTCTTCTCCTGCTCTCCTCTCTCACACGGCCTCTTTTCCCATCCTCCTCCTGCAGCCTCTTCTCCTTCCATCCTCCACGCCTCTTCTCCTCCCATCCTCCTCCTCCACGGCCCTCTTTCTCTCCCCATCCTCTCGGCCCTCTTCTTCTCCTCCTCCTCCTCCTAGGCCTCTTCTCCTCCTCATCCTCCTCACGGCCTCTTCTCTCCTCCTCCTCCTCCACGGCCTCTTCTCCTCCCCTCCTCCTTTTCCTCCCACAGCCTCTTCTTTTCTCCTCCTCCTCCAGGCCTCTTCTCTCATCCTCCTCCCACATAGCCTCTTCTTCTCCTCGTCCTCCTCGGCCTTCTTCTCCTCCTCCTCCTCCTCTCCCTTCTCTTCTCCTCTCTCCTCCTCCACGGCCTCTTCTCCTCCTCCTCCTCCTCCTCGGCCTCTTCTTCTCCTCTCATCCTCCTCCCACGCCTCTTCTCCTCCTCCTCCACAGCCTCTTCTCCTCCTCCTCCTCCCTCCACAGCCTCTGCTTCTCCTCCCTCATCCTCATCCCACAGCCCCTCTTCTCCTCCTCCTCCACAGTCTCTTCTTCTTCTCCTCCTCCTCCACAGCCCTCTTCTCCTCCTCAGCCCTCTTCTTCTCCTCCTCATCCTCACTCCACAGCCCTCTTCTTCTTCTCCTCTCCCTCCCTCATCCCTCTTCTTCTTCTGCTCCTCCTCCACACGCCTCTTCTCTCCTCCTCCTCCTTTTCCTCCACGGCCCTCTTCTTCTTCTCCTCCTCCTCCTACGGCCCTCCTCTTCTTCTCCTCCTCCTCTCCCACAGCCCTCTTCTCCTCCTCCTCCACAGCCCTCTTCTTCTTCTCCTCCTCTCCACACAGCCTCTTCTCCTCCTCCTCCGCACGGCCCTCTTCTCACCTCATCCTCCTCCACTGCCTCTTCTCCTCCTCTCGT